GTCCTGGGCTCGAGTCCCGCGTCGGGCTCCCTGCTCCTTGGGAGCCTGCTTCTCCCTCTGCCTCTCTCTCTCTCTGTCTTTCATGAATAAATAAATAAAATCTTTAAAAAAAAATTCCTTTGGAAACTTCCTTTATCTCTAAACCCCCCAAGATACGTGTTGGTAATCAACCCCCAAGCATAGGGCCCACCGTATACATATGAAGGGTCTCACGACTAAGGTTTTTATTAGACAGTAATAAATGACCTTTTCCCAATAATAACTAGCCCCCTCAAGGTCCTAGAAACCTTGCCCCCAAAATTCCTTAGAGGGGCGCCTGGGTGGCTCAGTCATTGAGCGTCTGCCTTCGGCTGAGGTCATGACCCCAGGGTCCTGGGATCCAGCCCCGCATCAGGCTCCCTGCTTGGCGGGAAGCCTGCTTCTCCTTCTCCCTCTCCCCCTGCTTGTGTTCCCTCTCTCGCTGTGTCTCTCTGTCAAATAAATAAAATCTTAAAAAAAAATTCCTTAGAGACTTACGCTATCCCTAACCCACTCCCAACTTGAAAGTATATAATGGGCCACTCCTCATGACCCCCAGTGCAGCTCTTTCTGCCCACAGGTCCTGTCCCCGGGCTTTAATAAAATCACCTTTTTGCACCAAAGACATCTCAAGGATTCTTTCTTGGCCGTCGGCTTGGTAACAAAGGTCTTTCCTACATCACCCAGCAGTGCTAAAAAACTGGGGGCAAGTTTTGCAAGACCAGGTGGTTGGTTCTCACGATCTCCAAACGTTGTTGCACCTCAAAATCTTTGGTTGGGCGGGAGGAGGGGAGTGCTTGCTTTAAAACCCGGGCCTACCATTGCCTGGTTTCGTAGGACTGTGATGGACCACAAAAATTTGCATTTTGAACAAGCTTCTCAGTGATTTTGAAGGAGCAAGTCAGCTGATTGCATTTGGATCATGAATGCCCAAAGCATCTAACAACTAATATTTAACATCTAAATGACCTCAGCGGAGGGTAACAAGAGGCAAAGAAAAAGTCTGGGATAAGAAAGAGACTCTGGTGTGCCTATTTTTAAATCACCAGTAGGCCTCTATTGCAGGCCCCACAGAAGTATGCCCCTTCTCCCCCGCGGTGCCAACTCTTTGTGGGCCCTGGCGGGACCCCCAAAGCCGCCCAGCCCTGAAATGGCCCCCCTGGAAAGAGGCACTGCGATCCCACCCCAAGTCGCAGGGGGCGCCACGCAGTCTCGCTCCGACAGGAATGGGGCTCCGCTTCCTTTCTACGCTTGCGCGGCAAGGAAGCCCTCACTTCCGGCCTTGCGCGCTCAGGGTCTGAACCTAACGGGCGCAAAGTAAGCAGGGGCTGGTGTTTTGGCCGAGTGAGCAGCTTTCCGCCCGGTTGGGTCCTTCCCCCACGTCCGCGGGGCCGCCCACCTCCCTAAAGATCTCTTTGCTTGACCTCCGACTGGGCATTCTTCTTCTCGAATCTGCCTCCCAGTCAGTCTTGAGGTCCCAGTGCCGCCCTCTTCCCACGGCCCCTCTGGTCAGGCAGGCGCTCCCCACGCTCGCCTCACTCTGTGTAACACCCAGGCCCTTCGCTTCCCCCATTCTCCTCCCTCAGGCACCTTCTCCCGAGGCCACCTCCTCCCGTAGAGACCTTGTGCGGCGGTGGGGAGGAGTGTCCTGGATGGAGAGCAGGCCCTGGTACCCAACCGAGCACCCTTTCCTCCTTTCCACGCCTCTCTTCGCAGACTATCAGCAGGAAGTTCAACCCCTTGGTTACCTCGGACCGCAGCAAAAACCGCAAACGCCACTTCAGTGCGCCCTCGCACGTGCGCAGGAAGATCATGTCTTCCCCACTCTCCAAGGAGCTGCGGCAGAAGTACAGCGTCCGCTCCATGCCCATCCGCAAGGACGACGAGGTCCAGGTTGGTGTCCCTCAGGCTCTCGTTACCCAGCTACATGTCGCTCTGGCGCTGCCTAAGAGTGTCATGTGTGCTGGGACGTGGGGAAGTCGTAGACTCACATGCCCTCACGACCCTGGCAAGTAGTGTCACCCTGCAGATGTGTCGGACCGGAGATGGGGCCCACAACCACCAGTGTGCCTACCCCATCTTAATTGAGATGTGCCTACCCAGCTTAATTGGGAGCCTTCCCATGCGATTCTTTAATAATAATGATTGTTTAAAAAAAAAATAGTATACCAGCCAAGCAAAACTTTGCTTTTCGATTTAGTCCCTTGGCTGCAACTTTCCCAGGCGTTGCTCAGGGTGACTCTTTGAACCAAATTCTCCAGGAGAAAGTGCTGTGATAAGAGTAATGTCTCAGTAGTATTGGGTTCAGCAAAGGTTGGGCATTTGGTGATACTGGGTTTGGCAGAGAGAAGAGGAAAGCAGCAAGTCAGAAGCATGAAATTATGAAAGAGAATGATCCTTGTGAGAAAGTGTAAGCGGTCTGTTCTTCCTAGGGCTTTGGATGTGTGGTAAGAAAGGGAGAGTGGGGGGGGTGACTGAAATAGATGGGGTAGATTAACTCCTTGAGAATTTATGGAGCTGGCACTGTTCTAGACATCAGCAGTAAGCAGGACTGACAAGGCACCTGTCGCCATGGAGCTCGACATTTTAGAGCAGGGATTCCCAGCCTCAGCACTGTTGACATCTTGGACTGGATGCTTCTCCCCACTAGATGCCAGTAGTACCTCCTCACGTTTGTGACAGGTGAAAATATTTCCAGATATTGTCAAATGTCCCTGGGGAGCAAAATCCACCCCCCCTTCCCCTAATTGAGAACCATTGTTTTAGAGAATGAAATGGGATACGGTTAAGGGATTTGGTATATCTTTTAAGGCACGTGGACACTTTGAAGCTTTGAGGAACATTTCGAGGAGAAGCTTGAAACCAGGGGATAATTTGGCCTGAGGGAATGAAAGGAATAGAGTGGGAAGTATAGTTTTGAGGTATGATCAACAGTTGCAACTTCTCTTCTAGATCCTTCCCATCAGACATGTTCTAGAATGGGGGAATTGCAAGTGCATGTAAGGGCTAGTAGGCATATTAAAAAAGGGAAGTTGGCTGATGGCAAGAAAATAGCAACTGGAAAGCTCATGCCTCATTTAAAGGAGATTGTGGTGTACCTTCAGCCCATTGCTACTACAGGGAAATGCAGGCTCCTTGTTGTCAGATTCTTGATTTTGCAAGAAAACTAGAAAGTTTAGATTCTCTTCCCAGTCCTCCATTTCCTTCTAGCTACTACTACTCTGTTCTGCATGTATGGCCAGTGTCCTCAAAAGAGTTGTCTACACTTCCTCACCTTCCCATTTATGCCTAGAGCCTCTCCAATCTGATTTGTATCTCACTACTTTATAGAAACTGCTTTTGGCTGAGATCAGAACCTGTTTGTGACTAAATCCGGGACACATCTTGGTCTCATCATGCTTGACTTTTTCAGCAGCACTTGGCATAGGTAGCACTGCCTTACTTCTTGAAATAGTTTGGCTTTTTCGCTTCTGTGACCGTTCAGGCTCAGTTTACTTTTGACTTCTCAGATTCCTTTGCTGGTCTCCTCTGATCCGTAAATGCTGGAGTTTGTCAGCATCTGCACCTGGTCTAACATCTCATCTTGCCTACATTGCTTCCCTGGGTGATACTATCTATTCCGAGATCCAAACGTCTGCCCTATGCTAACAACACCCTATTTTATATCCCAACCCAAACCACTTTCCAGAACACAGACCTGGAGATCTAACTATGTGCGGAACATCTTTATTTAAAAACCTCATAGTTGTATTAAAGAGGGCACGTTCAGCGTGGAGCACTGGGTGTTATGCACAAACAATGAATCATGGAACACTACATCAAAAACTAATGATGTATGGTGATTAACACGACAAAAAAATTAAAAAAAAAAAAAAACAAACAAACCTCATAGTTGTCTCAAGCTTCCAATCTGGGAGTACTCTTGACCGGAACACTGCTACTCTCTATAATCTGCTTTTCCTCCCATCTTTCACACTTCAATAAGCATCACTTTTTCACTTGGCTGTGCCATAAACCTTTAAATTCTCCCTAATGTCTCTCTCTTCCTAACCTACATCTAATCGATTACTTAATCTTAATTGATTCTATCTCTAAAATAAGTCTTTCTTTACATTTCCAGTTTAGTTCAAGACACTAGCTTTCCCTCTTTTCCTGGTCAAACATTCTTCACAGAGGGGCATTTTTTGCAAATTAGATTCTGCTTAGAACCTATCATTGGTGCTTGACTGCTTACTATAAACCTAAAATCATTGACAACAAGGCCCTGTGTGCCCCAGTCCTGGTCTGCTTGTTCAGCTTCATCTCATCCTATTATGCCCCCACATGTTCTGTACTTCAAACACACTGGCCTTCTCAGGTCCTTAAGTATGCCTTGACCTTTCCTCCCTTGGGGTCTTTGCCCAGAAGGCTCCCTCTGCCTGGAGTGCTCTTCCTTCTCCCCTTTACCTGAATGACTCCTCATTTTTCAAATGTTATCTTAAATGTCAGTTGCCCAGAAAAGCCTTCCCGGATACATTAATTAGCATGGTATCATAGCACCCTGTATTTGTATTTGCTTCCTAGCAGTGAACATAATTTGATTTTATTTCTTTTCAAACTGAAGCATAACGGGCCCACCTGCAGCTGCTGGAGCCCGTCTTCCCCCAGACCGTGTACCCTGACATCTGCGCACCCTGCTCCCGGAGTCCAGGATCCAGTGTGGTTCCAGAACAGGTGTGCCACGTCACGGCATCACAGCCGGAAATCCTTTCAGCCTTCAGCCAGACCGGGGCTTTGACTCCACCACTCTGCTCCTGGAACTGAAACAAAATGAACTGAAGTCCCAGCTGCCTCTTGAGATAATGTGAACTGGCCACCACATCCCAGCAGAGTTGCAGAGGGCATCTCTACCCTAGCTCTCAAGGTCAGAATTTTGAAACCTATTCTCTAAAGACACTGATTGAAAGCTGGACTCTTGGGAGGAACACATCTTTTCTGCCTTTGGTAACTCTTGAGGATTCTAGGCGAGTTCAGGATAAGCTCAGAGGAGCCATGACTGACATCCAAGGAGGTGCACATCAGAATTCTTTCCTTTCTGGCTTCCATGTTAAGGCCACATCAAGGTTCTCCTTGTTAAGGGTTTGCTAGTTCTCTGGCTTGTGCAGCTCCTGCACCTCTCGCCTGTGAACCTTTACCCTTGCCTAGTTCTTTCTCTGCAGCACACTGCTCCCTCCACCGCCTGAAATTGTGGCACTCACTTTGACCTGTACACCTCCAAATCTGCACATTCAGTTTGGTTTGCATTCCTGCTCCTTCTTGCCAGTTCTATTTTTTGGATTGGTTTTTTATTTTTTAAAGATTTTATTTATCTATTTGACAGAGAGATAGACAGAAGAGCACAAGCAGAGGGAATGGCAGAGGGAGAGGGAGAAGCAGGCTCTGCACCGAGCAGGGAGCCCGATGCAGGACTCGATCCCAAGACTCCAGGATCATGACCTGAGCCGAAGGCAGACCCCGCGCCCAACCAGCTGAGCCACCCAGGCGCCCCTGGATTGGTTTTTTGGAACTCATTATCTCCTTTGCAAGAACACTTCAGCTTGGCCCAATTTCCCCTTGTGCCTGGCAGCTGCCTCCTCGTGCTTCCTCCAAGGCTGGTACGCTTAAACTTTCCCTAACCCATCTCCTTCCTCCTCATCCTGTGCCTAGGATTTACTGCTTTTTAATGCGGCCTGTCATCTTTACATTCATCTGTAGCTTCAGTGATTCTGTATCCAGATTATTTCAAGAGTCCCCTGCCTCTAGCTTCTCAACTTTTTACACATTACTCTCTAGAAATCTGTAGTAGCCTCCAATTGCTATCAAATGGTGAAAACCTTTTCGTTCCTCTCCCAGACAGGGAGGGCAGTTTAAGAGTAAGCTTACTTAAGCTAACTTACTAAGCTAGTAAGCCTAGCCGACAGGGCGGTTTTTCAGATCTTCATATGGTCACCCATGCACAATGTATGTCATCTCAGAGCCACTCCTTTCCTTTTCGGAACCAGATGAATACTTTCTCTTTCAAAACACTTGCAATCTCCTCCCCGCCCCCTTCTGAAGTCTGAAACTTTCTGTAATCATGATTTTGTACCTGTTATTTCAGTCACTCCAACGTTACCCTTCGCCCTTGTTATTGTACTTCTGTGCAACGTTAGTGAATTACTAAATGTTCCCACAAATGAAAAATAAATAAAACTGAGGCATAATTTACGTATAGTAAAATGCACAGGTGAGTTTTGGCAGATGAAAAGCCATGTAGCCATCACCATAGTTATGATCCAGTAAGTTCCCATGTGCCCTATTCCAGTTAGTGATTATATATATTTGCATGTTTATTAGTTAACTGCTTATTACCCATTACATTAAGATGAGGCCAGAGAATTTCTCTTTTTTGTTGCCTGATCTCAGTGACCTCATCTCTGGTGAATTCACTGTCTTACTGTAAGTGGCTTCCATCCGTCTGTTCCACTGAAGCACACTAGCCATGATCACCAGTGACCAGCTTGTTGTCACATTTGTTCCTTTATCCTTCCTGTAAATGACCATTCCTTGGCATTTGACATTCTTTCCTTGGCTGCAGTACCCCACATTCCCTCAGTTTCCCATTCTCTGTGGCCACTTCAGTCTCCCTTATGAGCTTTTCCAAAATGTTGGCTTTTCTTGGATTTCTACATTCTGCCCTCATACCATAAGCTCCCTGAGCAAAATCAGGCTCCGAATTACCATCTTTGGAGGACTCCCAGGTCTTTGTTGCCGACCCACTTGGTCTTCCAGCTGTGTATGGAATTCTCCACTAGAATGTCATGAGATGCCTCAAATTCAGCATGTTCCCAACTACACTGTTTTCTCCTAAAATGTTTCTTCCCCCATATTCTATGCCTCTGGGAAAGGCATATCCATCCATCGAGTTGCTCAATCAGACTCTGGATATCATCTTTGCGTCTTCTCCCTTCCCTTTCCGGGCCAGCTGGGTTAGTCTTCTCCTATCCCTCTCCTCGCTGGGTCTAGTGTTTGTCCAGTTCTCTTTAAGCAGGGTGTTCCTTTGGACTCATTTTATTAACCTCTTTCTTTAGTCTTGATGATGGTTAAGAGGGGCTTTTTCACAGACTTTTCCACGTTTCACGTAAGAGTCTCTGGTCATGTAGAGTGTGGTGGATTTTCAGTGAGGCATGGCTGTTCTCTTTTCAACCTGAAAATCACCTTGGAAAGTAAGCTGAACAATCTAAATAGACATTTTCGGAGTATTGAAATTCTCTAGTTTTTTTTATGTGGTTATTTCCTTTATGTTTCTTATAATCAGCATCAGCTATATTGTGGCTCCTGTTTAATAGGCTTGTGCCTTCAGGGAAACCATAATCTAGTTGGCTTTGAATAGTGTTGGAGTGTGAGTAAGATTTTTATTTTTTTTTAAAGATTTTATTTACTTGAGAGAGAGAGAGAGCACGAGAGGGAAGAGGGTCAGGGGAGAAGCAGACTCCCTGCTGAGCAAGGAGCCCGATGTGGGACTCAATCCCGGGACTCCAGGATCGTGACCTGAGCCGAAGGCAGTCGCTTAACCAACTGAGCCACCCAGGCGCCCATGAGTAAGATTTTTAGTATGTGAAAACAACCCAAGAGACTTTAACATTTTAATTATTTTCTGACTATAAAATATTTGTGTTAATTATAGAAATCTTGAAATTTGGGGGCACCTGGGTAGCTCAGTCAGTTGAGTGTCTGACTCGATTTCAGCTCAGGTCTTAAGTGCAAGGTTGTGAGTTCAAGCCCCACATTGGGCTCCACGCCAGGTGTGGAGCCTCCTTTAAAAAAAAAATCTTGAAATGTGGAAGAATAATACTTTTTTTTTTAAAGATTTTATTTATCCATTTGAGAGAGAGAATGAGAGAGAGAGAGAGAGCATGAGAGGGGGTTGGGTCAGAGGGAGAAGCCGACTCCCCGCCGAGCAGGGAGCCTGATGCGGGACTCAATCCCGGGATTCCAGGATCATGACCCGAGCCAAAGGCAGTCGCCCAACCAACCAAGCCACCCAGGTGCCCAAGAATAATACATTTTTTTAAAAAGTCATCTGTAATCCTACTTCCTGGCAACCATTATTGACATTTAGATATATTTCCATCCCATCGTGTTATATGCCGTATATCTGAAACATACATATACAAGATTCAGACTTTATTTCATATAAAGCTTTGTTTTCTTTTTCTTTTTTTTTTCTCTAAAGGTCCTATCTTGAGCATTTTCCTTGGTCATAAATTGTTTTTTGAAAACATTTTAAATGGTTGCAGGAGAGTCTCACAGTATAGTATCTTTAACTATCCTTTTCCATTTAATCACTTAAGAATGATTATATTTTTTCTTTCTTAAATTTTACTTTTATTTAACCGAGATATAATTGATATATAAGAATGTGTTAGTTTTGGGTGTATAGTGATTATACTTTTTTACTCTCAGGACTAGGTCTGTGGTGGCCATCCAAGTTCAAGGAATTTTTTGTTTCAGGTAAAAAAATTCAGGTGAAGAATTTTCACCTGACTTAGAACAACGCAGAGCAGATTTATAGCCAAAAAATAGCTGACTTTTGACTGCAAAGGTTAATCTGCTTTTGTGCAAAAAGTTATATGTTAGTCTGTGTATTCCTGATAATTAATTTCCTCACTGTGATGTTCACATATTAGAATGGGGGGAAATTTTTCTTTTGTGTTTTCTCTTAGGTGGTTCGAGGACACTACAAGGGTCAGCAAATTGGCAAGGTGGTCCAGGTGTACAGAAAGAAATATGTCATCTACATCGAGCGGGTGCAGCATGAGAAGGCTAATGGGACAACTGTCCATGTGGGCATTCACCCAAGCAAGGTATGGCCTGGGACCGAACAGTGGTAGCAGCTGTGTAGCTTAGTGCTGTTGTTAGAGTTATCAGTGTGTGGGACTGTCTACTCAGGTGGCCCTACTCAGGGAAAGACTTCTAGAGGGAGGTCAGGCAGGCTTGATCGATTCATTGGCCTAGGATCCAGATTCTTTTCTTCTCTGTTTTGTCATCCTTGGTGAAGGCTCTGTCTTTGAGCAGGTTGCAAGAGGGTTCCAGGTATTGTAGGCATCACTTTCCTACTGGATGATGTCCAGAGGGAGAGTTGAGAACATCTCTTCCTATGGCTCTCACACCCACCTGGTGTAATAGGCTGTTTTTCATTTGCACTCCTCTATTTCATGCACTGTATTGGAAGGTCTTTCTCCTCCAGAGTTTCAGATAAGGACAGAGTGGTGAGGGTCTTACTTATCCTTATGACCTATGGTCCAGTAGCTGGTGGGAATGCACGTGTTTAAAAAACAATGCGTTTTGCCGGCCGAAGGGTGATAGACGAACCAGAAACATGTTGGCAGTATAATTTTTCCCAACCCAAAATTTGGTATCACTAAACTATCTAACTGGTCTCTTAGACCCTCAGGAGTTAGGGGGTATTGCTATTGTTGGGAAAAGTTCTTCTGTACAAAATAATTGTAGTTATAAATCCTTTCCTTAAAAAAAAATAATAAAGATCTGTTTTCTTACCCTTAACAGGTGGTTATCACCAGGCTAAAGCTGGACAAAGATCGGAAAAAAATTCTCGAATACAAAGCCAAATCTCGACAGGTTGGAAAAGAGAAAGGCAAATATAAGGAAGAACTTATTGAGAAAATGCAGAAGTGAATGTAACCTGTTGTGCAAGCACAGTTTGCCTGTAGACCGTTAGCCTGGTGTGTGTTCCTTTGAAACTTTTCAAGACATCTGCCAAACATTTCATCTCCTTCCTGTTTTGCTATTGATAATGTAGCTTTGTAAATCCACTTTTGCTGTTTTGATTAATAATTTTATGAATAACAATTGAAAATGTTTCCTAATTCCACGGGGAATTTGCATTGTTTTATAGATAAAATTCATCTTACTGTCAATTCCTTTTTGCCATTCTTTCCTATGTTTTAACGTACTGAGCAGCAGAATAGCAGGGGTGGCATGGCTGTGTTCCTGCCTGAACCTTCGTGGCTGACGGGGTGGACAGGACAGGGCTCTGGTCCCTAATTCAGGAGTTTGCTCCACTTAGTGGTAGTCATGATGTGAACTGGCAAATATGAGAACTCACTGAGTGTCTGGTGCTGCTCTGGTCTCAAGTCTGACGGATTGCTCCCTGGCCCATTTCCTCTCCCTTGTGCTCCAACCAAACCAAATGGCGTGCAGCTCCCTAACCAGGTTGCCCTTCCCAAGGTCTTGACTTTGCAAATGCATTTCCAAATGACTGAAATGTCCTTCCACTCACCTGGAGCTAACTCAGGAAACTGACGACAGCCTGGAGGCAATATTTGGCTCACAGACAGATTGTTTCTCCTTCTGTTTTCATAATTTTAATAGATCAATTTCCAACATTTAAAAGTTGAAGAATTTCATGGGGAAATCCACATCTTGCTTCATCTGGTTACATGGGTCCCCAATCCGACCCAGCATCAGTTAATGTGGAGCTCAGAGGCTGGCTGTGCCTATCCAGTCTGCACCACTTGTGTACCCAACTTGCCAGGCCCCCACTGGCATCTTGAGTTTTAGACTCCAGGTCTAACTGCAACCAGCCTAACGCGAGTTCACTCCTTAGGGAGTTAGAGACTGCACCAAGTGTTGTTATACAAAAGAAAGTTTATTTGCAGCAAATAAGATCACAGGGAATAGCCTCCAAATCCATGACTCTCCAAATAGGGGTGAGTAGGTTTCTTTTATCTAGGGTTACGATGAATATTCAGAAAGGGGCGTTTCTTCATTGTAGGTAGAGGTGGGCATAAGGTTGTGCACATGTCTTAAGGAAACATGCCAATACAAGCGTTGTATGTTATATTAATGAGGTTTGTTCTCCTCCTTGGGTGGGGATTTTAACATTATAATGAAGCAGAGGTAACTGTTGGACCAGGGGAAAGGGCTATGGGCAAGCTCTGAGAGCCAATATTAATGGGATTGAGTCTTGGGCTCCTTATCTCGGAAGGAATGCAGTGCCTTGCTTACTTTTGAAACAGCCCTGGGAGTTTTGCCACTGATGTATTATCTGATATGGTTAGGCCATTTCCTGGCCTACTAGAATCTGTTCGTTTTTGCATTCTCTTTGTTCCCTTAAAGTCTTTAACTATTGAGGTTTTTGTTTTTCTTTGTAATTCTGACACCTCCTAGGCAGTACTGCAAGAAGTGTGCTAGGGCAAGAACCAGGTAGGCATAGATCATGGAAAATAGCTGGGCCTAAAATGACTTCTTGTTTTTCTGGGGACCCCTAACTCTGCTTATGTAACTTCTAGTTACCCTTCAAGATTTAGCTCCAGATCCACATCCAAGATCTTCCCTTGGGGTGCCTGGGTGGCTCAATCAGTTAAACATCTGACTCTTGATCTCAGCTCAGGTCTCAATCTCAAGATTGTGAGTTCAGCCCCACATTGTGCTCCGCACTGGGCATGGAGCCTACTTAAAAAAAAAATTAAAAGTAAATAAAATCGTCCCTTGCTGCAGTGATAAATTATTGATTAAAATTCATAAATGACGAAAATGCATAAAATTATAAAATGCCTTTTATGACTCTAGTGATATGTGGCCTGACACATTGGAGTTTCTTAGTAAATGTTGACTGAATCTCTTACTTCCCAATTTGCCTGATGAAGAAAAATGAGCTTAGATTAATTGTCCAGACCCCAGAGAACACAAGAGATAGAGTTAAGATTTGAACCCGGCCTGACTGCATCAAAGACCACCCACATCCCACTTTAGCCATCCATCTCTGGTGTTCCTTCTTTCACCCTGACAGCCCTGTACTGGAGTCTTGACGACCAACTGGACATCTGTGTGCAGGGAGAAGAACCTACATATTTGCAGCAGTAGTGCTGTTTAGCAGGAAAAGCATTGTCACCATCTCTGCCACAGGACAGTCGTAAGCCTTTGCGCAAGTTACCTCTGAGCTTCCATTCTCTCAGTAATAAAGCATATAGCTAATGCCTGCGCTGCCTTCCTGTCTCATGGAAAATGGCAGGATCAAATAGGCTCTTTCTGAGGACTCTGAAAAGTATGAGTGTACAAATGCTAATATTGCTATTGTTTACTTATATTTCCAATTCTGAGATGCATTTTGCACTGAAAGAGGTAAAGATTTTTCACACAAAAAAATCAATGGAATCACAAACCACAAAATTCAGTATGCATTCTCTGATTTGGGGGCATTGATTTTTTTTATTTTTTATTGTTATGTTAATCACCATACATTACATCATTAGTTTTGGATGTAGAGTTCCATGATTCATTGTGCATAACACCCAGTGCTCCACACAGAATGTGCCCTCTTTAATACCCATCCCCAGGCTAACCCATCTCCCCACCCCCCTCCCCTCTAGAAACCTCAGTTTGGTTTTCAGAGTCCATCGTCTCTCATGGTTGGTCTCCCCCTCCGATTTCCCCCCCTTCATTCTTCCCTTCCTGCTATTGGGGCATTGATTTTTAAGAGGAGGCAGAATGATATTGTCTTGGCTCCAAAGCCACAGGGATCTGGATTCAAAGTCTGCTTTGGTTTTGGGGCATTTTTAATGAGCTTGTTTCCCTATCTAGGTAAGAAGCTAAAAATGTTTCTCTTTGTGAAAATGCTTATCAAATGTAAAAGCTAAAGTAGTGGTCCACCAGACTCTCCTGACTTTAGGAGTCACTCGGAGGCTTGCTAATATTAGCCTCTGCCCCCTTGCATGGTGGTGATTCCTTGACACAGTAATTCTGGAGAGAGACCTCTTCAAGTCTCGAGTGCTTGTATATTTCTGACATGGCTCTTGTGTGATGCTTACAACCAGTTAACTTTGGGAAATTGTGGATTATGATATATGTAAAGTAGGGGCGGCTGGGTGATTCAGTTGGTTAAGCATCTTACTCTTAATTTTGGCTCCTGTCATGATCTCAGGGTCTTGAGATGGAGCTCTGCATTGGGCTCGCTCTGGGTGCAGAGCCTGTTTGGAATTCTCTCTCTCCCTATCTCTCTGCCCCTCTTGCCCCTCGCTCTCTCTCTCCCTCTCTCTCTCTATCAAAAAAAAAATATAAAGTATGTATACATGCAGCATATAAAGTAGGTGTGTGTTATCATTAGTAGTCTAGTGAGTAGGTAAACAGTAAGGTCTGTAGTTTGTTTTTTCTAATTTTGAGTTTTGATTCTCAACACATAATTTAGTATGCCAAAAGTTGCATAAAAGTTGGATTTCATACTACATTAAATTTATAGTAAGGATGACATAGTCTGATAGCCTGGTCTGGGCCCTAGGCTCCAGCCATTATTTTCATCAATAAACTTAAATTATGATGTTTCCTAGGAGTTGGACTTGGCTTGTTTTTAGCAACTTGTTCAATACAAATGATAGATAAGAGGTTTGAGAGCTGTAATCTCCACCACCAGCCTTCACAGGCAACCAGATCCTATCCGACTACTTAAACTGAGCAGGGTGAGTCATAGTGCATGGTCAAGAGCAGGAGCTCAGCATCACACATGAGTTCTAATGCCAGCTCTGTCAGTTCCTAGCTGTGTGACCTCAGGCAAATTGCTTAACCTCTGGCCCTCAGTTTTGTCATTTAGAAGATAGAAATAAAAAGAGTGCCTACTTCAAAGAGTTGTCAGACTTAATACTTGAGATACTGCATGTGAAGCACAGAGAGCTCAGCAAATTTTAACTTGTCTTTTAGAGGAGATTGGCAAGGAGTTTGCAAGAGCAGAGGGAAAATTTTTCTCAGGAGTTCAGATAAACACTGGTTCTTGGCTTTTTTGGGGGGGGTGTGTTTAAGATTTTATTTTATTTTTTTAAGATTTTATTTATTTGGCAGAGGGAGACACAGTGAGAGAGGGAACACATGCAGGGGTAGTGGGAGAGGGAGAAGCAGGCTTCCTGCTGAGCAGGGAGCCTGATGCGGGGCTCAATCCCAGGACCCTGGGATCACGACCTGAGCGGAAGGCAGACGCTTAACGACTGAGCCACCCAGGCGCCCCAAGATTTTATTTTAAAGTAATCTCTATACCCAATGTGGGGCTCAAACTCACAACCCCAAGATCAAGAGTCACATGCTCTACCAACCGAACCAGCCAGGCTCCTCAAATACTAGTTCTTGAATGAAGGGGAGGATTTAAGGGCAGTCGTATTGTGTTTGGGCTGCTGTAGGAAATGGGCACTGGAGAAGGCCAGATGGGTGGGTCGGCCTATCAGAGTTCAGTCCCAAGGATTTTAGCATGTTTCCTGGAATGACTTTGAATTAAGCAGTTTCCTACTAACCTTTTCATTGAATTTGCAGATGTCCACTCACTTGAGTGAGTCCCCTATGCTATTTTGGGAAGCCTCCAAACTTTTAAACTTCAGATAACTGCTTCTGAATGTCTGCTTTCATATTGCACTCAGGCATGAGATATTCAGCTACAGAGCTCTCAGTGTATTTGGGCAGGCAAGTAATTGAATATACTGGGAACTGAGTAGAACTCTACCAACCAAGAATCTACCATACTCTGCTGATACTATGGACTTTGAACACTTTCCATCTGGTGGCTTGTGTTTTTGTTCATTGTTCTGTTAAATTAGTTTCTTTTTTTTAAGATTTTATTTATTTATTTGACAGAGAGTGAGAGAGCACAAGCAGAGGGAGCAGTAGAAGGAGAGGGAGAAGGAGGCTTTCCGCTGAGCAGGGAGCCCGATGCAGGGCTCAATCCCAGGACACTAGGATCGTCACCTGAGCCGAAGGCAGACGCTTAACCATCTGAGCCACCCAGGTGCCCCTAAATTAGTTTTTTTTAAAAGAAGTAATACATATGGTAAGGTACAAAAGTTACATAGTGAAAAGTAAGTTTCCTTGTCCCTGTGATTCTTGGTTACTCAGCTCTGCCCAGAAGCAGTCAGTGTTTCCAGTTCCTTTTGTATCCTTCCAG